TTATTATAAAAATAATATATCACCAATCCTCCCAAGTATTTCTCGTGTTCAACTTCATTGAAAAAAATCAACTGATGCTAAGAGAGATCAAGGCTAGATTGCACACCAGGTTTTGGGATGTTTTACATGTCGCGAGCGTACACAACAACTGATGCTTGAAGATCACGGTCCACCTTGAAGTGGCATGGAAGACCTCTAACCTCTCTAAAGGAATGTGAAACTAGAAAATCTTTAAGCGCCTCTCCTCTGAATCAAACAGTACAATGTGACTGGGGGGAGGCCAGCGTTTTGCAAAATCTACGGCAAAACTAACAGGATCCGTCATGAAACGGTCTGATTCGGCAGGGATTCCCTTACTCGGCGTGCAATCTAAAAAACGCATTGGCAGGTTGTAATGCAGAGTGGAATAGTAGGGTGTGGCATGGCAAGGCATGAGGAAAAGGATACTTTTCACCTTCCCTATTGCAGCTTCTTTAGATAGATAGTTCATCGCATCCTCGGTTCCTCTTTGATGAACCAAACTCATATATAAGGCCATTGGAATATTGCTTGCAAGCAACAAGAAGATAGCAAGATGCTTTCTGGAAGACAATTTATTGCAAATGCATGAAGATCTTTTCCTTTCAACATTTGGAGATCTACGTTCTTTGAGTGAAGCTAGTGAGAATCCAGCGAATATCAACTTATGGGAAGCACAGGGAGGACAAACCTGAATTCTTTGTGACCAAGAATGCTGTAAAGTCCTAAAACCCATAGATAAGCCCAGAAAGCTTCCAATATCTAGACTTGATAATGCCGTCAACACAAAATGGTAGAAAACTGAATAGCATCACTGTAAATCCCTGAGTGAAGTACCAGTGCCACTTGTGAGTTCCGTAATAATCTCCTCCAGAGGAAAGAAAATTGAACTTGAGAAAATTAAGTGGTACTAAAACCCAGGAGCCATACATTAGACGATCCAACAAACACATAATTCCTAACACCACACTCCCGATAGGAATCAACTCCAGAAATATAAATCTCAGCCGCTCATGAGTCAAGTACAGCTCAAGTAGGCCAACATACACCCAAGTATAGCACTTGTTGTCTAATGCACAAGCTAATGCAGCTAGGATCACACCCAATTTTCTTGAACCTGGGGGAACTTTGTTCACAGAGCTTCTCATTGACGGCCAGTAGTATAGGCCTACAAGAGTGAGAATCGTCTCCAAACTATTTGAAAGCGTACGATTGAAACAGAAAAACATGAACCAGTTTGCCAGTTGAGAAAATAGAGCCCATTTTGCAACACCATCACCAAACAGGACAAGCGAAAATTTATACAAGTACAATCACCAACTGCAGAAAATATGGATTGCAGCAGTCGCGGGGCCTTAATCATGACCATGGTGTATCAAGACCCAAATGCGACAAGTTTGTAAAAGAGAGCGCATCATTGGATGCAAGTAGCTTCGAATTCCCTCCTCCCACTCCCATGTCAAATGACCATACCCAAAGGTGATGCGATGCGCAACTTCAAGGGCTTGCCAGTGTTCATCTGGATTGAAGTAAGTTTGGATCAACAAAGCGTTGAGCATTCGAAATCCCAAACAAATCGTGAATACATCCTTTGAAGAATATCGTGAATTCTTTTGTGATTTTTCTTCTGCTTCAGACAGATTTGGATGTTTAAGTGAAGAACCATTCTTTCTCTGTCTCATTGTTTGCTGCGAGCGTGATTCTCCTCGGACGAGTAGAGTAAAAAGGGTCTGGTTCAGTCAATGCGTGAACGAAAGGGTCTCGATCACCAAGTCTGCGATGGCGGTGCTAGCTGCGATGTTCTTGGGTGTTCACTGTTCACCAAAATCGACAACGGTGGTCTCCTTTTTCAGATCCAAGGGCAGGCCTGAAGAGAGGACACCAGACAACAAAAACTCTCTGATCAAGGTAGGGGACGGTGGCACACGATGGATGATCCTCCGGAAATCACCTGATGAAAACAAGAGTAAGAAAGAAAAAGGCTTGCAAGAGGGAAAAAATGAGTCTAAATTAAAAAATAATAGGTGACAAAAAACACTGCATATGACATATAGCTTTGCCTAAGGCCTTTTTACTCATTTTAACAACCTTTTCTGATTAATTTCTGGATTAACACCTTTGAATGAAAAGCTGTATGTATTCGGTACAATGAGATGAGTTTTCGGCCGCCCGGATTCCAACCCAATAATAAAAACATTCCACTCAACCCCACCCCGACCATAAACTTTCTTAATGCTCAATTTTGTTAAACAAAAATATAATTTTCCCAGCATTACAGGTAAAAAATTCAAGAATAAAAAAAATGATATTAGCATATACAAAATAATTTTTTATTTTCAATTTAATCTTGAATAATTAATTTTGTTTCAGAATCAAAATCCAAAACAAACCTAACATCCTGATAATGAACATGTTCGGTAATTACATCCAGAACAAACCTAAGAAAACTAGAGCAAATCACTTATTCAACTTACCAGCAATTCGACCCTTGAGATCCTGATAATGAAGGTCCGATCAAATGTAAGCAGCTGATTATCATCGTAAAGCAAGCACATCCCAATTAAACAGCATATTACGAGATAAATCATTATTATCCACAAATACAGAAAACAACAAAATCCAAGATAATAAGCTAAAGTAGTTACCTTTCAAGCAAAGAGAACAAGAGCAAGCTTTGAGCATACCATTTGCATCCAAATTCGCGCGGCCATCATTCTGTGAGAATGGATTAGGCAAAACCTCGACCGCTCGATGCACCCACCTTCCCTCGAAGCCAATCTACCGACGCCCAGATCTTTATCCGTATTCCTACTATTCTCATTCAATATATGACTTACTTCCGCAACACTTTCACCTTCTAACGTATCCTCACTATCAGACAATTCGAAACCTTCTTTCGACTCGCTGAATTCGTCGTTGAACGACACTAAATCCTCTTTTGGACTATCAATGTTGCCGCTACATGTACGTAAAATTTTAGGGTTTGATTCAAATAAGGGTATTTAAGATTTCTCTTTGATGAGATTTTCTGCACCTACACATACTTTTTTTGCAGATTGGGAATCTGCTTCTCAGATCTAAAAGAACATGTTCCTTTCTGCATCAACATCCAAAAGAAGAAAAAACACATCACTCAGATCTAAAAGAAACGAAGCCTCAACAGATTTCACTTTTGCTAATCAAAACTCTTATGAACAGAAAGAAACGAGAAAACAAAACAAAGGCTTCAAAAATCCAAAATCGAATAACGAATACGATAAGAGAGAAGAAGAAGTACCTAAGAAGAAACGTGCGTCGGGGCGCGTGGCGTGCCTGGAAAATGGAAAATGCACAGAGCAAAAGGGAGAAAACATAGAACTAACCCCGTAGAATGTCATATCGGGGTATAGTAGTAAATTCTCCATAAATAATTATTATTTATATTGAATCAAATTTTATTATTATTTTTAATAGACACTAATTTTATTAAAAATAAAAAATATTTAAATAGCACAAAAATTTACTATCATAATCATAAACTAAACATATGATAAAAACATTTTTTTATAATCAATAACATTAGAAATTAACTACATACAAGGAAAAAGTTAAAAATTTAATCAAATAAATTCAAACAAAAGATAAATACAAGCAAATTTAATAGAATCGATAAATAAACCAACTGTAAATCGAAGTAGAGTGACATGAAAAAAATTCACGATTACAAATTACGTATCCAAATTCAATATGAGGTTCTAAAATAAAGAAGATAAACGTGATAACAAATAAATCAAAGCTCATCATAAGAAATAAGATAAAATAAAATAACAGTCAAACGACGAAAACGAGTCATAAAGATAGAATTATTAAAAATTAAAAAATAAGAAAAATAAAGATATATTATAATAAATAAATAAATAAACATAAATATTGATGATCGACAACCAGTACCAATGCTGGTATCATTATCAGTCACAAAGATAAAGAATAAAAGTGACCAAAGGCAATCAAGAAAAGGAAGAGAAAATTAGAGTTTTCTTTTAGTTGCCCACTAATTCAAATCGAGTCGCGTCATACACCTGATTTTGGTGGGTGAATCTCCCGGTAATGATATTTTATATATACAATGACTTGAACTCAAGACCTTGCTTAAGCGATATCAAATAACTTACTACTTGAACCAACTATGTTGGTAAATTAGAGATTTTTTTAAAGAAAGTGACTCAAAATATTCATTATTTTCATTTTACTTTGTGAATAACATAGTCGAATAATAAATATTCGAATCTATTTTTATAGATAATGAATTTAACTTTACTTTAATATATGAATCTATTAAATGACATCAATGATAAAAAGAGAATGTTGTTCTATCTAGAAGTCATAAGTTCAAATAGTTGTGTTTGCAGTGTATGTACATTGTTAATTGATTAATTTTTTTAAACAAATATTACCGTATAATCTCCTCAGTCTATTCAAAATAAAGCTCTACTTCAATATATAATTATTATTGTTTTCATAATTTTAATATTATAGGTATTATTTAAGGTTTAAAGTTTACTTTTATAATTTAGAATTAAAGAATTATGATATTAGATTTTATAGAAAACCTATGCTATAAATAAGTTATAGATTTAATCTTTATATCAATCTAATTATTTTTAGTCTATATAGTTTTAAAATATTAAAAAATAGTTTTAATTTAGACATTAGTTGTGAATTTTGTTAGATCAAATTTTACTATCCATAAACTATAAGTTTAATTTATATTCTTTAATTTTTTTTAAATTATAAATATTTCATTACATTATTTTACGTTGTTTGTAACAAAATTTTAAAAAAATATAGATATTAAAGTAATCAAATCAAAATATTAATAAATCCATAATTATAGATATTATAAGGACTAATAAAAGAATAATTTGTATACTTTATCTTAAATTTTATAATACAATACTACCTTACTAATGAAGCACCAACATAATTCCCTAATTCTCTCTCTTTCTTAATCATTATCATCATCATCATTATCCACGTTTTACTCCATCTATTCGCTGCAAAAACATCCCAAATCTCCCACTTCCTTTGTATTTCTCTTCCACCTCGGGAAGCCCATTAGACCTCTTTTACTCCCTTTTTGTAACTCTCATTTTATATTGATTTATTCTTTCCTTCATAGATCCAGCCCTTCTTCTTCTGTTTCTATCTAGTATCAAAGGTACATTTTTTTCCTTTTTCAAGTTTCAATTTCAAATCATTTTTGCTTCACTTTATCTCACCATCTTTTCATCATTTTTTGGGGTTCTAGTTTATTTCAAATTAGATCAGCTTACTGGGTTTTGCATGGGATATTTTGTTTTCCCCAAATCGGGGGTTTGAGAATGAATCAAAGTTTCTTTAGTGTCTGAGATTATGTTTTCTTTTTTGTTGCTTTTACTGCTAAAAGAAGAATATAAAAGGCTTAGCTTTGTAGATTCGCATGTATTCATTTGTTTTCGAATGTTTTTTCATCTATTCATATACCGATATATGTGTTGAACACGAGTTTCTAAGAAAAATGATGAGTTAGCTAGGCATAGTGGCTCTATGTGTTGCCATGAATGAAAATAAACTTGTTCAAAGTTCTAAAATTTGTAGCAAATGTTGTTGAATTTGACATGGTCTGATTCTGAAATGTGTGTTTTGCTAATTTTTTAAGCAGATAATATAGTCACATAAAGAGAAGAAATCGAATTAAAGCCGATCTGTGGAATTCGATAAAGAGCATTACGATTTGATCTAAAGCACATTCAAGCATGTCGTTTACCGGTACCCAACAGAAATGCAAGGCTTGTGAAAAGACTGTTCCGGTGGAACTTCTGTCTGCAGATGGAGTTCCTTACCATAAATATTGCTTCAAGTGCAGTCATTGCAAAGGGACTCTAAAGGTTTGCTTTTGTTGATTGCTTTCAGTAGTTTTCTAATCATTCGATGATATCAATTAAAAAAGAGTTGACATTGCTTGTTTTGTATTGCCATTTATTAAATTTAGTAGCTTTTACTTATGTTACTCGGATTTGGGTGTCATTATGTGGTTTTACAATCGCTTTGAGCATTTTCTGATCCTTTGTTGATGTAGATGAAAAGCAAAGTTGACATTTATTAGATATAGTACTTTTTAATTTTACTTATGTTAGGATTTGGGTGTGAGTATATGGTTCTACAATTGCCTTTTAATCATTCGTTGGTAGATGAAAAATTAGTTGACATGCTTGTTTTGTACATTGAATAGGTTTAAAGCAAATGGGACATTGTGTATGTTTTGCCATTTATTGCATTTAGTAGTACCTTCTGGTTATGTTGCCTCGGATTCTAGTGTCAGTGTGAGCATTCGACTTAGATATGCTTTCAGTATGGGTATTTTTTCCTATATATTTGAAGGGTCATTGCCCTATTATCATTGTCCAAATGTGTTGCATATGAGTACTTCAGAGATGTACTAAGGAGTGCCTTAGACATTACTGTTTTCATAAGATGGTCCTGGTCCATACGGAAGAATTTTCAATGTTAATACATTTAGAGAGATATGTTTTGTTCGAGGCTTGGCGAATGTTAGTTGTTGATATGATAGTTTATGTTTTGACGGACTTTATTCATTGAATTGTAATGAAGTCTCTGCTTCTAACTTGGCATATGTATATATCTCCAGTTGGCTAATTACTCCTCAATGGAAGGTGTTCTTTATTGCAAGCCTCATTTTGAGCAACTCTTCAAGGAGACGGGCAACTTCAACAAGAATTTCCAGTCACGTATGTATCTTTGATCTTTTCAGATAAAATCGTTTGTCTGATCCCTTAATAATTTCATTATGGTTTAATATGCCATTAATCTTATTGTCAACAGCTGCAAAGACAGCTGAGAAGTTAACTCCCGAGCTGGTAAATTTATGATGCAAAATACACGTGCTTTGGTGATTCGATTAGCAAAATTATAGGGTTTGATAGGTTATTTGATGTTCTTGCTAATTCCTAATAGCTGAGCAACTCTTCAAGGAGACGGGCAACTTCAACAAGAATTTCCAGTCACGTATGTATCTTTGATCTTTTCAGATAAAATCGTTGTCTGATCCCTTAATAATTTCATTATGTTGGTTTAATATGCCATTAATCTTATTGTCAACAGCTGCAAAGACAGCTGAGAAGTTAACTCCCGAGCTGGTAAATTATGCAAAAATACACGTGCTTTGGTGATTCGATTAGCAAAATTATAGGGTTTGATAGGTTATTTGATGTTCTTGCTAATTCCTAATAGCTTGGTTTGATTGCAGACGATCACCGAGCAAAGCTGCCAGCATGTTTCTGGGACGGTCGAAAAATGTGTACTTGTGGCAAAACCGCATATCCACTTGAGAAGGTAGAGTTCCAAGGTCCCAATAAGTCTTTTTCTTTTTGTTTGGGTGAGAAATGTATCTTTTCTGCATTGCAAGATTCAATTTCTGTCTATCTGCCCTAGTTCCATCTGGGGTAATCAACTGTTCCGATTAGTACGTCATCACGCTATAAGTGATTCTTTGTTCTTTACAAATCGGACTAACCTAGAGCTTAACGGCAATTTGATTGGTTTATATCTGTGTCTATCTACACTCGAGCACACATAAGTCGAAGTAAGGTGTTATGAAGTGTCAAATTGTTGAGATTTTCTTAAAACTACCGTCTCATGCATTTTGATCTTTGCTTCTGTAGCTTTATCTGGCTCTTGACATCATCGAAATGCGTATTAACATACTCATTTGTCTCTACAATGATCTTACTGCTGTAACTTCATCTTCATCCCATTTTTTCGACAGTAACCGTGGAAGGACAGTCTTACCACAAATCATGTTTCAAGTGCTCATGGTGGCTGCTCTTTAAGTCCATCAAATTATGCAGCACTTGAAGGCATTCTGTATTGCAAACATCACTTTTCTCAGCTCTTCAAGGAGAAAGGAAGCTACAACCATCTTATCAAATCCGCATCGATTAAGCGTGCTGCTGCATCCGTTCCCGAGGCTTGAATACCTTCGACGTTCTCCGTTTTTTCGGTGTTTGCTGGTGTGATTTCTTATCGATCTCTCAGATTTTATGCTCCGGAGAAACAAAAAAGAACTCCGGTTCCTCTCCGTTTGCTTTCGGACATTAATCTACATTTAAGCATGGTATTTGTTTGATCTGTGTAGAAGTGAATGTTGTAAAACAACTCTTTCAAGGTTTTATCAAATTCAATTGCCTCAGTACAAATTATTATTTATATAATATTATTAATTTAATTTCAATTATAAAAGATTGATTAAAAATATTTTTTAATAATAAAATAGTCAGCACACTATCCGAGCAGTTTGTATAATAGATTGAATTCGACAATTTATAGAATAAATAAAAAAATTATATGATCTATTTTAAATATTTATTAGGATATATTATATGTACATTGACACCCCATCGTTTAATAATTTAAATATTTATATACGTAATATTAAATTTCAAATATATTTGGTGTGAAAAAAATATAAGAATATATTATTTTTAATTTAGAGTAAATATAAGATAATTTAAAAACTCTTAACTTTTTTAATAATAATAATGAACACTCATATCTTTATAAGAATAATAAATGTATTTGAACTTGAGACCTCAAGAGATAACACAAATGTTTAACTATTGAAATCGTTTAATATGTACAAAAATTTTAAGTTAAATTGATTATTAAATTTGAGATATTTTTTAACGAAATATATAATATTATTTTTAAGGGTCGGAAAATGAAAACTAATTTGAATTCAATTATTGTTATTATGACAGTTTAAAATGTTATAAATTAATATATAAATAATTAAAATATTGTCGTTTAAATTTAATGATTAGAAATGATATATTTATATACCGCCGAGACTTGGTAATGATATTGTACGTGTTTACCAGTGTTGCAAACTCACTGATTCGGAAACGAACCCGTTTTCCAACTGAGTAGGAAATGACGAACTCACTCGCCGATCTCCATTGCCATCTCTCTCAGTAAGCTTTTTTCTTCTCTTTTTGCTCTCTTTTTAATTTAATTTAGATGTGTTTCATTACTTTTTTTGGTTGCAGATTAACGAAGCAAATCCTCGATTCGCTCTTGAAAACGCCAGATGCTCCTCACGTAACCTCCAGAATCTCAACAAATCAACGCTCGAATCTCTTCTCTCAACAGAATCATCACTCAAAGACTTCGCCTTAGCTTGCGCATTGCTCTCCGCTTCTCGCTCCTCCACTCTCGAGCTTCTCACATGGATCCCGGCCACCTTTCGACCGCCGCGGAAACCTCCTTTTCCGATCTCTCAAAGCTTACAGCGTTCCGGATGGCGGAAGCGAAATTTGGCGGCAGATTTAATGCCTGAAATCGTGCCATTTTGAAGAACAAAATTAAGGAGAGCTCCATTGAGAGTGATGAAGATGACGAATTTTCTGCCGCTTCGGGCAGGGCTCCCGTAGATTTCGCCATTTTGGCCGCTTATCAATTAGATGTTTGTTTCTAAGGTTTTATAAATTATAAGTTAATTTTCTCAGAAAATCCGTTTGCTTTTCTTTATTTAAAAGAAAATCAACATTTATAATCTATCATTTTTGTAGATTGAGTATCCAGGTTTAGATAAGATGTTAAATTTTGTTATTCCTTGTGCATTAACTTGTCTTGATCACTGGTCGCCAGAAGTGAAGTAATTTTGTAATTTTAATTTTTTTGTGATTATGGTTTTCTTGAGATTAAGAATCATGTTTCTTTTTTATTGGCATTGATTATGTTTAGGGGCAGGGGATGATTAGCTTTATACATGTAGCAAAAAATGTACAAGCAGGGGCTCTTGATTGGTATGGACGTGATTCTTGATGCTTGCTGCCAGAACATTGCTTCTGCTGATGAGATATGGCAGTATGTTGTAGAGATGTCGTCACTTGCATTCAAAGAAATGATCCCCGTGGTCTGTGGTATACTTGCATTCTTAGTCTCTTTAATGTCTTGATCGTATTATTAACCAAGTTTAGTATTCCTTATTAAGCAAGATCTCTATAATCCCTTTAGTTCGCAGTATGGCCCTTTTCTTTGTCCTTTTAGCATCTTGATTGTGTTTTAACTAAGTTTGGTATGCTGTTGTGATGCACGATAAGCCATGTAGCTCGTGTTATGGTTGTTTCCTTAGTCTCTTAAGTTTCTTGAATTTTCTGTTAAAATAAGTTTGGTATGCTCTCATGATTCATGATAATCCCCAAAGGTTGTGGTAATACTTGTTTTTTTTGTCCGTCTCTTGTGTCATGATTGTGTTTGTTAACTGAGTTTACTGTGCTCTTATGACGGAAGTTAATCCCTGTAGCTCGAGATAGTTGTTTTGTTCGTCTTAGCCTCTTGATTGCTTTTATTAACCAGCTTGGTATGGTCTAATGGTGCAAGATAATCCCTGTAGCTTGTAGCATTTGTTTTCTTCTCTTAAGCTTCTTGAATGTGATGATACTAAGTTTAGAATAGCGATTGTTTCTTCTCTAGCATAGAGATTGTGTTTGTTAACTTAATTTAGTATGCTTAGAATCTCCGTAACTCAGGTATTCTTGGTTTCTTCATCTTAAGCATCTTGACTGTGTTTGTTGATCAAGTATGCTATGGTCTTATGAAGCAACATAATCCCCTTATCCCATGGTATACTTACTTCCTTTGTCTCCTCAACATCTTGATTATGTTTCATTGAATAAGTCTAGGAAGCTCTTATTATCTCGTGGACGTGGTAGGGAAAACTTTGTGCACAATTATGGTGTAACGAATAATTGTGGACTCAATCGTCTTAAAAGGGGCATTAGGGAGAAAATTTTACGAAGTGTTATCAATTGGCCAATTGGATTGCAAAGGGACTTTCAGATTCAGGCATGAGGCTATATGCTTTTGTAATGAAGTTTTTTCATTTCAGAAGATTAGCTGCTGCTTTTGATCAATTTCTGACCTTTTCTTAGTATACTTGTTGGATGGTTGTTTCTTGATGCTTGTAGCTGGTTTTACTTCATTCATATCTCAGGTGTATACATCATAGTTTTGTTGATGTGGTAGAGGACGTAGTGCTGGCTAGTTCTTTATTTCATTTGCATTTATCTAGGTTTGAGAAGATCCTGACCGAGATGTTGAGCCATTTGGACGGCAACCAAGGAATAGAGAACGGCGTATTGCGTGGCTTAAGTTTATTGAGCCAATCTTCAATTCTATGAGCCTCTTGTTATAGTCCATTTGGGCGTATTTTCCTACTACTCTTCCAGTGGCTACATGTTGATGATGATGAAACAGTTCTACTAGTAAGATTGTATATTCTTGCTCATCAAATTTCAGTTTATTGCTGGTTCAAAAGTTTAGTGAACAGATCTTCCCATTAAATTCTCATTGTTCTGCAGGTTCTCAAACAACTTCATACAATTGTCCGGTTAACATGGATACGGAAGTCACCATACTTTGAAAGGTAAACTAAGTACATATACTTTGGGTTTGCATTTGATTTAGGTGGTTGAACTGTCCAATGGGAAGAATTTTGGTTTGTTTGATCATTTTTAATGGCATTTTAAACGGTTTGTAATAACACAATGCTAGTGATTCAAATGATCATAGAGAAAGTGAAATAGAAAGGATATTTCTTAATTCTCCCGTCTTTTAGGAATTTCAATCATGTGAAGTTCTTTCTGTGAACGGTAAAAAGTCCTATAAGTCTGATCTGATTCTTCGTCCAAAGTTGTTTCTATCGAAACTTGTTATGTCATCTCCTTGACTTACTGTTCATCATGAACTCCTTTCAAGGATTCTATAAATTAAGCACTCAAGTACCGTGAATTGTTCAATAGAATTTACTTCCACGTTTTTTTTTGGTTGGTGAAAGGTATGATTCCAGGAAAAGGATCATACAAGGGGATTAGAGTAGGCCTTGTTGAAAACCTCCCTAATCCCACGGTTTTCAATCTTGCATATCCTTTTTTTTTTTCTTTCCAGATTGGTAGATGAACTTGTTGTATATACAAAGAAGCAGCACTGAGAAAGGCTCGTGAAGAAATTCGAACTGATATTCTTAATCTACTAATCACGCTGCAGCAGTAAGTCACCATCGTAATCTCGATCATTTTCTAAAATCTTTTTTCCCCATGACCCTAATCCTTTTCTTTTTTCTCTGTAAGCACAGATGCAAAGGTCTACAGTTTGAAACAGCCTGGAACAAGCACCGCAATGATACAAACTTGACCACCCTCGATCGTAATCTATTAGTGAGCAGAGACTGTATCAAGCCTAAAGAGGGGAGTGGACTAACAGTAGAGACAACTGAAACCGGAGAAAATCAAAATCAATGATTAACCCGAGCCAAAGTCGGAGATGAAGCCAGAGCCTAGCAAAAAGAGGTAAAATAGAAATCGATGAAACTAAGCTTCATATAAGCAAAGACAGAGACTTGTACATAACACTCTTGTGTAAGTCTCTAGTAAGTGTTTAAGATTTGAGGATGTGAAGATTCTATAGGAAATGGTAGGTTTAATGATGTCATGCTTAATGATAACATGTTGAGATGAGCAAATATCAACAATAGTTTTTTGATAGTTTGTGCACGCCTGAATGGGAAGGGCATGGTCGTCACGCTTCTTAATTATTATAGGAAATGGTAGGTTTAATGATGCCATGCTTAATGACATAACATGTTGAGATGAGCAAATACCAACAATAGTTTTTTGATAGTCTGTGCACGCCTGAATAGGAAGGGTATGGAGATTATGGGTTCTTATCATCATGATGACATGGTCATCACGCTTCTTAATTCTTATAGGAAATGGTATGCTTGGTGATAACATGCATACATGCAACCTTTGACATGAGTAAAAATACCAAACTAGTTTTTCACACTTTGTGGAATGTAAAGGATGGTGCAAATCATTGATTCTTATCATCCTCACATTGCATAACCATCATGATGACCATGATCATCATACATGCATAATTCCATGCATACCAAGACTAATTAAACACACTAAACAAAAGAAGTGTAACTTTGAGTTTTCTTTGCCATTAATTAATCAAATATTGAAAATATAAACAATAGCTCAACTGTATACAGACCAATTCTACAACTTTTTTTCCTGAGAATAAAGAACATAAATGGTAATTCCTCTAATTTTTTCACTAAATCCCAAAGCTATTGCCAATACAAAAAAAAAACCAGTTTCCCAGACTTCCAAGGGAAAAAGAATATCTATGGCACGGAATGAGGCGACGTATTCTACCATAAGACTGAAACTTAGCCTCTAAAACATTATAGATGTTCTTGCACTAAAGGAAACCACATATATGCCAATCTTACACGTAGGCTGCGTCTCATTTGCTTCGTTTCTTGGCTTCACTGTAGAGTAACCCCCAAAACTGAGTGTATAACCGAGCATTCCGGTAACGGAGACTGGATTTCTGAAAATTAAAATTGAAACCACCACAGCTACAGCTCCTTTTGCATTTCCTAGAACCTGCAAGAACAAACATCTCAGTACCCATACCATACACCGGTTGTTCCTATGATCACTTCATAAAGAAGCAACATGCATAGGAACTACTTTGGTTACATAAACAACTAAAAGATGGGTGCTATTTGTGATTTTACAAATTTGACGCAATCAAAATCTTCACAAATGACTTTCTTGTTCGAATGATTGAACAAAGTGCACTCATGTTAATGTAATAAACTCGTAAAAAGCCGATCCACAACGTACCTGCAAAGTTAGGGCGCTGGTGTGTTTCGTGACCAAAAAGTTGGTCAAATTCACAAAATATGCAAGTGCTGAATTGAATAGTAGATACCAAATGATCTTGACATCATCACGGGCAAGAGGAAGGGTGATACCAAACACATTCTCCTCCATAATGAGTGTTGCAGGAAGTAGGGGAAAAAACAGCTATAGGGGCCATGTAGAGGAGGAGGTTCATGGAATTCAGCTTCTCTCTAAAATAAAATTACAATAATTTTTCAGCAACCAGTTTCTAGTCTCGAACTAAAGCAAATATATTAAAAATAAAAATCATGCCATAAACCATAGAAGCAGAAGCAAAGCATAAAATCTCCTCTCCCTTCGGATGAAAGTAAAATCCCCTGTAAAACTGACTTGAGAGCTCGTGCAGCTGTAGTTGAAATGCACATGATAAACCCGAACAGATGGAAACTCGGTTCGCCTATGGCCATTGAAAATAATGCAAAAAAATAGCCGGAAACCGGATTAAGAAAATGAAATGAAACGATGTGAGTAATGCATAGATTTAACTTTATAAAAGATAAAGAGGAACATTGAAGGTTTCAAATCAATAAAGGGGTATAATGCCAGCTATATTTGCTCCTCGTTTTATAGAAGCAACAATGTCCATCACTCCCCCCAAATACATGAAAACCTTCAGAAAAAGAAAATCCCCTTCTCGTACACGGATGTGTCCAACACTCAGACTTGAGTCCGAGTCTCGTAGAATTTCAGACTACATGCTTCTTAATGCTAGACTCCAAACATATGATACAAAGAACCATTTGAAGTAGTAATAAAAAGGACCATTGATGAACCATAAACAACAAGGTTTTAAACGAGTTAAAGACTTAATCATCCATTTGAAACCAAGAGAAGAGAAAAGATAATCCACAAATCAAGACCATTACGAAAAACATCCAAATTAAGCAAACAAATTAGTCCTTTCCACACTAAGTTTCTTGAACTCGATTGCGACCGGATATAGGAATGTATCCGAACATGGTCCTTTTAGATTTTTCGGAACATGGAGGTCATAGCCACATGTTCCGATAGTAAAGTAGCCGTTTTGAACAAAATAAAGCAAAGCCAATTTCCAAATTCCAATGAAATCTTCAAGAAATCCCCTAAGAAAGCTATCAATTAGAACAAAAGCTATAAAGCAACAAATTCAACAAAATGAAGCGAACCAATTCAAAACTGATAAAATGAAGCGAAAACATTTCAAAAAAAAGAAATCAAAATAAATGATCAAGTAAAAAATGCATACCCCACTGGCAATGATAACCCCAGTAACAACAGGAACAAGAGTAATGTAAGTAAGCCAAGCTTCCCTCTTCAATGTCATCAAGTAAGCGAAGACCGCCGTGAAAAACGGCGTCGTAGCACCGACAGCCTGGTTAAAACTAACCGGCAAATACCTCAATGAAATGTTCCCAAACACCACCGACACACAGAACACTAAACTCAAAGCCGAGATCTTAAAGAACTGAACCCTAGATCGAATCGTCTGCATTGGAACCATCTTCATCCACGCGATCGCTATGTAGCTCAACAAAGAACAAGTTGTCATGTGACACATGGTAAGAAGATTGGGTACTTGAAGCCGTAATGCTTAGTAAATACTTGTTAACAACAAACACCATGTTGGATGTGTACCAGGCTGATACTAGCCGATTGTGAAAATTTCGATTGGTTTTTCATGGTTTTGTGGGGTTTGAGAATCTGGGTATCTTAATTTGGGTGTAAGAGAAACTGGAATCTGTTGGGGGGGGGGTTTATAAAAAGTGGATCTGAGTGGTGTTTGGGGGACTATGGGTGTTTTTGGTCGGGGAAGTGGGGTTTTTAAAGATGATTTGATGGAATTAGCTTCCATGGATCTGATTCTAGTTTCTCATTTCAATAGCAATTAATTCCAAAGAGAATAACATTGACAAAATTAACTTAAATAAATGAAAAACAAGTAAAGCTATAATGTTATGGAAACAACTATGGGCTGCCCTCTCTGCAAATTTCTCTGAGAAAACGATGAGGACTAATTTTAAATAGATGAAGTAAACGCCTTGGATGTTATTTCTTTATTTTGTTTTTCCAAGTGGTTAATCTAAACTAATTTTTTATTCCATATACTATTAATCATTATATTTAAGCTCAAATTTATCATTCTACCTTGAACTCTACATAGATTGCAAATTTAGTCTAGTATTCTAATTTGATCGATTTCAATTCCTCTATTTTTAATATTTTAGTCCTTACTTAAACAACTCAGGGATTATTTGAGTAAATTACAATAACTTAAAATGATTAAATATGAGTACAAACTATATCTATAACTTATAATTAAAAGATCGATAACATAATTTGATTTAATAAATTGTACAGTTATTGTTGAGTTAAAACTAAAAATAAATACTTAAAATGATCAAATTAAATATATAAATTAAAAAGCATAAAGACTAAATTTACTAAATAAAATATGAAGATTAAATCTACAATTTATACAGAGGAATTTAAACCCGCGTCCATCTTATTAAAAACATTACTTTTATTCAACAAATAGAAATCTAGCTAAAAATTATATAAAAATTCGTATTATTATAAGGTAAGAAAATTTTCATGTTTAGATAAAAATACATGAGCTACAAGACTTGTGCTTTTTTTTATACATATATTTAGAAATCAATAACTTGTTTGTAAAATGGGACTAAAATCGAACAGTTTTTTACATTTCAATGTTCTCCAATTTAGGATTAAACTTGTAAATGAATCGAAAGAAAATATATCTATATTCGTTCGTTTAACTTTAGCAGAACAAAAATAATTAAACAAACAAAATTTCTTATTTATGCTCGTTTGTTAAGAAATATAACTTATTCACATTCATTAATTAAAATAATAAATGAACATAAACGAAAGAATATAAACGAACACAAACGAACAAATATAAACAAACATACATAAAATTAATTGGGTTAGGGCTTGGGGAATTTATATTGTGGAGCGAACGTTTATGGTCCCTAGGAAATCATGAGGTTGATTCAGCCTTTGAGCTTTATTCATTTCAAAAGGCCCAAAATTTAAAAAAACGTCAATATATAAATATAGAATGTGTATGTTCATTTCAACTAGAGATCGTTATGAGATATGAACCCGATGAATTTTGACTCGATTTAATTTTATTGAATCAGATTTTTTTTATAAAAAAAAGATAATGATTGGGTCGAGGTTTTTAAGGGATAAGTTTAGATCTAACTGAGTTTGGATTTATGATGAAAAATAGTTGATCGTGCTCAATCCAAAAAATAATATAATTATATATATTATATATTTAGAGATAATTGTAATAATAACTCTCTCTATATTTTTTTTTCCAATTTCAACTATATTTTAGTGACTAAAATTAATATTTTTTATAAATATATTTATTTTAGGTCAGTTCGGATACGAGTTTTATCTCAAAAGACGAGATGAATTTCATATTAGATAAAAATCACCCCAAACCTTGATCGAATCAAGTTTCAAATGGATGATATTTTTTTCTTTTGATCGAGTCAAATCGAATTAACTTGAAACTCAATCCAACCCATAATCATCCTTAATTTCAATACATACTAATGTACAAGTCTCCCTACGCACTCCCTCAAAAATTACTCTATTTTCTCAAAAGTTTCTTGGCCTTTATAGATAAGACTTCACTTTAATTTTTTGAGTGTACAAAATTTTAATGGATTGTGTTAATTTTAGGAGAAATATCCGTTTCGAATATTATATCAATTATAAAATTTTTATTTGTATGACAATGATTTTTTCACGACACAATTAAGATTTATTTAAATTCATAAATTCATTTTTCAGTAAATACTAACATTCTTTTACAGTAGCACTATTATTTTTCAACAATTATTTTTAAAATAATATTAAATTTTACTGTGACATAATAATATTTTTTTTCTTCCTTACAATTTTTTAGATGATGTTAATATGTCGTTTTGCAATAGTAAGATTTTAATCTTTATCAAGTCAAAATGAAGGAACTTCGAATTGAGGAAACTAGATCCAGCTTTTTTTTTTTTTATTTAATATTGAAAATTTTCAATCTGTACTTGAATTCAAGCTTCAGTAGCTTATTTTTTTTTTCTAGAAAAAAGAACTTAATCAAATGAACTTGAATAGTTCGATCTTCTTCTTCGATTGATTCACTCTAACAGCAAAACTCGATTCAGCTCGAACTTTTGACCAAGAGGCTTCAAAGATCAGCGAACACACTGAATTTGCTTGAATCTCCAATAATGAGCCTTACAGCTGCAACTGTTGCAGCAACCGACATAAGACTAAAGAAAACAACGTTGAGCTTATGCCATAATTGTTGTAAACTACTCACTGTGTCCTTATTTGCCACGAGATACATATGGTTCGCTAGGATGAACGTCAATGGGAACGTGCTCAATGCTCCGGTGAGGCTCTGGAAATCGCCGAGGAAGGGAAGAAGAGCCGCCACGAGCGAACTAATGGCGAGGTACCCGCCCCTTGCTGCGGTCCGGAAAGATAAGCTTTTAATCTCGAAGACACCTCCACTGACTCCGAATTTCGTGTCCATGTACTCGTATGCCGGACTCGCGAATATCTATGGTCGTTAAAAAAGCTAAATCAAGTTAATACGATACGTAGCTCAAATTCAATCCGACCTGACCTATGAACATTGAACGTCCAAAAACTTGAAGGGAAAGAAAGTGTTGCTTACATGCAATGAAATGACTGATTGTAGGAAGGCTGAAATGTTAGCGAATGCCTTCAACCATACCGGACCGCTTACGCTGCTAAGCAAATACGCCGGTGCGGAAGATCCATAAGCCCAATAGCCGATAAAAGTAACAGCGAACATCGGCACGCTTCCGACCGTGAACTGAAAGTACAAAGCTTTCAACATATTCTCCACACATGGCTCCCTCAGTGTTGCCTGACAGGAAAACAATGGTTGAAAACTATAAAAATGACTAAAAATTAAACATACTCGTATCAGACACATACTAATATCTGACACTCATCGTTTAGTTTGAATAACGTAGGGTTCGAGATTCCATAGCTGATATTAAACTCACCTGTATTTCTGGAACCATTCCTGTATTGAATGCAAAGAGAAGACTTGAAGATGCCCCTATGATTTCAAATATTTTGCTACTTATTGTCCCGTGTATACTATAATCTCTTGGTGGTAATTTAATTCCTACAGAAGAAAATCGTTATTCAAATAAAAACACGGTTTAAAACTCGATAAAATCTTATATGATTGTTCGATTTCATTTATTTAATGAGTAATTCAAGTTAAATCATGTTTGTATGTTCATGTTAGAACATGTATCTGAATGAGTAACTAAAAAATACGAAGATTCACAATAAGAATTCTATCTCCTTTGTTGCTGTTACCTTTATATCGGATACATACTTAAAATCTACTTGCATAACGTAAAAAACTTACCATCTCGGGCAGACAGTACGGAAGCGACGATGATGTATATTAAGCTAAGAATTGTGGAACATCCAAGCCATGCTCTTAGAGACGACAAATTGGGCGTTAAAATGGCAAACAATATACAAGCAAATCCAGCTATGCCCGTAAAGTATGGAAGCTTCATGGTATGGTCATCAGTGAAAAGTACATAACAAGCCTGCATTGCATAAAAAAATCCTTAAAACCCTATTCGACACCGAAAAACTCCAACACTTTAGTGTCATACCCTACGATATCTTATAAGTTCGAGGAGTCTTTGCAATATTTAATATATATTTTATGTAAGACAAAACGATAAAAATTTTAAATCAAAAGAGATAATACTCCTAGAGAAAAAAACTCGTATTACCTTTAAGGAAGCACCTCCCATAATAAGAAACCCTATGTCAATCATGAATAGATTAACTTATTGTAATATCCAGGTAATAAGATAATCTTTTTTACCTGTTGAGAAATGAAAGCTCAACGAGTAAATAAAAAAATGAAAAGATCACTATATCTAATACGACGTTCTCCTCTAAAATTATGGAGTTTTGCAACAAGCATATTTGCATACATCGATGCAAATGCTGCCTGGAACCAGTGATCTGTAATCTCGCCAAGAAAAGTCAGGTTACTTCAAGAAGAACATCATGACTTAAAATTAGGCCTATTAAATCAATTAAAATTTTAAAAATTTTCGGATTCAATTAAAATTAGTTTTATTTTCGAGTCATTGTGAGATTTGATCGCGATATAATAAAATACACATATTCGATATATCACTTTGTTCTCTAAAGAAACTTTTTTCTATTATTATAGTGCACGGAGTAATATAATCAATTAAGACAATGACATAATAAAAAATCAATAAATATAACAGTTTATAATTTAAGATATTTGAGATAAAGAAATTATTTAAATACTAAAGTGATAAAAATAAACCGCTTTAAATATCAAATACCTATTTAACTCTAAAATATTTTATTAGTAAACAAGTACTAAAAAAACTATAGCTAATTACAACTAAATATACCAAAAATATACTATCTTCCACACACAAAAACCCAGAAAATTATGAAATTCAAAAGGAAAAAGATCAAAACTTTCCCAGAAAATGGCAGTAAAAATGAGGAGAACGTACCAACACCAATTTCGTGAGCCGATTGTGGGCAGGAAACAGCGGATGATTTATCATTTTCTACATCATATCTATTGTCTGCTACTACCATGTTTGACCTTTTGTTGTTTTTGATTTTTTTTTTTGTTGATTTTGTGAATTATCTTTCCTGTTTTTGATCTATCTTTGGATGTATAAAAGTTATATATTTATATATGAAAAGTGGGATATATTTGTCAACCTCTTCTTTCCATTTTCAATTTTTCACATGGTTGAATTCAATGCGACAATTTATCACACCCAAAGGAAACAACTTTTCTTTCTATTTATGGAAACTCTGCTCTTTTTTAAACTTCTGAGAATCAAATCCATGCTCTTACACATGAGAAAAGGTGACATGTTTCCACCTGTCCCTTTTAAATACGTCACATTTCTTAAATTTGTCTCCCAACTATTATGAGATGACATGTTTCGTGATTTTATTGATGTTCGTGTACTATTAAATAGCACCCAAATGATATTATTTTATCAAAATAACTCCCTTTTGATAGGGGTAAGTGTTCGATTGACCTCTTGAGTCAAGTCGAGTCGAATAAAAAAAACGAGTTATTAAAGTTTTCAATAGTGGTAATGTTAACATTTAGTTCAGATTATCGTTAATTTTTTAACGAAAAATGAGTTTAGTATATATAAATAATCAAATAATAATTTTATAACTTTTAATAATCGATTAATTCAATAAAATAATGTTCTATAATCAAATAATTGTTACTCAACAAAAGAATATCTTATAATTTGAGAAATTATTTATACGAGTACTCGTATTTAATACGTACGTGTATTCATGCATTTACAATGTCCTAGTGGGGCCATAGATGAGAGCGTAGTTCACGTAGATTTTACTAGCCGACCACTCACCCACTTTCTTTATCATTATCTTCAACCTATATTTTACTAACCCAAAGCTCGAAAGGTCTAATCTGCCCGTAGTCTCTGTACTTTTTACAAATTCTTCTCTTACCCTCTGTACCTTTTATAAATTTAAAATTTAATCCTTCTACTTCTAATTTCAGAAATCTAATCCAGATGTTCCTTTGATTTAAAAATTTAAAAGAATTATCAAAGAAATTTCGTTAAATTAGAGTGTGATGTCTTAAAAAGAAAATTAACCATTTGTTAAGTTCCAATCATTAATTGATTATCATATTAATTAGTTTTCATTCTGAAAATAAAGAAAAAATAGAATTTATATGCTTATTGCGATTCAAAAGCTAGGTTCTTTTTTTTCATTCTAGTTTTAAGGTTTTACCTTGATTAATCTGGGCAGATCCGGGTATCACATTTGGTTTTGATAGGTGAGTCTTCCAGCGTGGATTTTATGCATACATAAGACTCGAACTTGAAACATATTTAAACGGTATTAAGTTGCTTGCCATTTTAATCAATCCCGTTACTAAAAAAAACTAAGTTCTAATATCATGTTTAATTAATAGAGAAAATCATTTTATATCTTGAAACTTGACCACACTATCCCTTATTTCTCTCTTGCTAAATATAATAATTAAAACCACTTTGAATTAGTCAAATGATGGTAGACTACAAAAATATTCTCTTACGATATTTGAACACTAAAAAAAACATATTCATCCAGATAATATGAAAATTTTAAAATTAATATGTCTCGAGCTTTTTCCTTTAGTACAATCAGTAAACAAGTGATCCATGATCTTCACTCTATTATCACAAAAATGTTACTAAAAGAAATCACAATCAACTTGACAACTTTTAACTAGTAATTTATTCATTACGATAAATCACTATCATATACTATACCATTATATATCATAGCATAAATTATTGAAAATAAAATATCAGGGATGAAATTCTTGAAACTATGACAAGAGAGATCAATTTTTGAATATTTGAAGAATATAAGGACTGTGAACGGAATTGGACCACTAAAAGCAAAAGCTGCTTTTAGTCCTAAGGAAAGCGACGTGCCCCACGTCATTCTTCTTTTTCTTCTTCAGAAAGTTCAAAAATCAAATTTTTTAAAACTTCCCACCATATCTCACACTCTCGTAAATGTCTCCTTTTTGTGACTCAAAGATTCAACCTTTATTTTCACCTCTTTGAGCATGAAGGGTAGTTTTTTAAGTTAGCAAAATTCTCAAATGGAGGCTTTGTTGAAGAAGAAAGCTAATTGGACTGACTCAGTGTCTGCAAGTGAGTTGAGTAGCTTCAATGGTGGTGAGTCAGAATTTAGTACTTCACTATGTAACTCAAAGATTTAACTTTCTTTTGTTTGTTTTTTTCAAAGATAAAGAAAAGGGTAGATTTTCAAGTTAGCAAAATTTCCAAATATGGAGGCTTTGGTCAAGAAGAAAGATGATTGGACTGAGTCAGTGTCTGTAAGTGAGTCTATTAGCTTTAATGGTTGTGGTGATTCAACAGAGAGCAGTTCCAGTGAGTCCGGGTCCGGGTCAGCTTCTTCTCTTTTGGGTTGGCCTATAAGGAGAGCCATTACCACTGTTGCTGGTTCAGCGTCAAAGAACTCAGCAGATGTTTCAAATGAAAATGGAGATGAAGCTGACAAGCATAAAAAACTGGGTTCAAAGATTAATGGTGAGTCATGTTGTTTCTAAGTTTAAATTCGAATATATTCGTGTTCGACACATATTCATATTTGAAACTCGAATTCGAATACAGGCAATATTAACAAATTAGACCAAAGTTTGAATTTTTTTTACAGCTTAATTGGTTTTATTTTTTTCCCTTTGGAAATTTAAGTAGAGATAGATATGATGAAGGAGAGATTTGCAAAATTGTTGCTTGGTGAAGACATGTCAGGTTCAGGCAAAGGGGTCTACACAGCTCTGGCTATTTCAAATGCCATTACCAATCTCTGTGGTATAGCTCTCTTTTCCCTCTGAATTTTATGACTTTCGAGATTCGGGATTTAAATTACGGTCACGGAAATGATTCCGGTCACATATGTTTATCTATACTTCGTAACATAAACTGTGAATATCATCGACGAGAAGAGCTAAAGCAATGAAATTATGATCATATATGTAGCTACTGTATTTGGACAAATATGGAGATTAGAGCCTGTTCCTGAGGAGAAAATCAATGTGGAAAAAAGAGATGGAATGGCTTGTTTGTGTTAGTGACCACATTGTCGAGTTGATACCTTCTTGGCAAAATTTTCCCGATGGAAGTAAGCTCGAGGTATTGCTCCGACTCTTCATTTTTCGCTTTGAAATATCGATCTAGATATCAGTGTTTGATGTATCTGGACATTAGTATAGGGATATGTCACCGGAGTCGAAGTTTTTTGAATTTTTAACCGTCTATTTTGTGTTTTACACAGGTCATGACTTGCAGGCCTAGATCGGATATTTTCGTAAATCTCCCGGCCCTGCGTAAACTCGATAACATGCTTCTGGTATGAACTAAAAATGCTTGCTTTAAGGTTCTAGTTCAAAACTGTAAGCTTGCTTTTGCTGTGCAGGATATATTAGATAGTTTTGCCAACACAGAGTTTTGGTATGTTGATCAAGGGATTGTAGCCCCTGATGCCGATGGCTCTGCCTCTTTCCGGGAAGCACTGCACCGACAGGATGAGAAGTGGTGGCTACCGGTACCCCGTGTGCCTTCAGGCGGCCTCACCGAAGATTCGAGAAAGCAATTGAATCACACACGCGAGTGCACGAATCAAATATTGAAAGCTGCAATGGCAATCAACAGCATTTCTATATCCGGAATGGAAGTTCCGGACTTGTATTTAGACACACTCCCGAAGGTCAGAAAACTTGATAAGCGTTGCTTTCTCGTAATGTTATCTGTTTCCGGATTGCATTTTGGTCAACAAACAACTCCACATGTCTCTATCTGATGTATTAATTGTTACATACTGTTATCAAATATGCCTTAAGTGACACATAGTTTCCGAAAATTTTGTTGCAGAATGGAAGAGCTTGTCTAGGAGATTTGATTTATAGGTATAACATCCAATCAATTCTCAGCGGAGTGCTTGCTCGATTTCCTTGACCTACCATCGGAACATGTTGCTCTTGACATTGCGAATCGTGTTGAAGCCTCAACATATGTGTGGCGTCAAAGGTCTTACTCGAAGCATTCAGTCAATCCGAACCGGTCCACTACAAAATCGTCATGGAAAATGGTAAAAGATATGATGGTTGATGGAGATAGGAGAGAATATCTAGCAGAAAGAGCTGAAACTCTCCTGCTTTGCCTGAAGCAACGATTCCCGGGTTTGATGCAAACTGCATTGGATACAAGCAAAATCCAGTGCAACAAGGTTTGAACTTTGAACCCATTTTCCGAAAACATCCGGTTTCACCGAAAGCTACTTTGTTATGGTTCGAATGTTATTCATGCTATACCTCATTTTAAACTTACAGGATGTTGGGAAGTCCATCCTTGAAAGCTATTCAAGGGTTCTGGAAAGCCTGGCATATAACATAGTGGCACGGATAGACGATTTGCTCTAGTGGCACGGATAGACGATTTGCTCTATGTAACTTAACAAGCATTCCGAAAAGTTGTTGTCGGATCCAACTACAGTTAGTGTAAACACACAAAAAGGTTCCGTTCCCATATTCGGTGCCCGTCTCGAGCACTCCCTACAAAACAGCCGTCGCCACACCAAGCTTTTCACTGCGTGCACCACGGATCAGCCCTGCAAGGGGAGAAAGAACTCCTTTTCTCAAGGAGAACAACAACAGCAAGCCTCATCGCCTTGGCATCGGTGTGAAGAGGGTTTTGACTAATTATCTCGGAGTCGATCCGAAGGCAAAGATATGCGGTAATCCAACTGACAATGTTTCATCAACAATGGACTCCAAGACTACAGATATCCTAGGGAATCAACAGGATCAAACTACATCAAAACAATAATCGGCGCACCAGGTTGGGACTTGGGACGGGAACACGATGAAATCCTCGGCGATGTACCACCAGTTTAGATGTTTCGAAGAAGAAAAGAGTAAAGAGATGTGATAAATAGAATAGTTGATAACACAAAACTTGTTTGTTGTAATAAAATTGTGATCTGTACGAGTTGGTTACGTTCAACACAAACTTGTAGTTAAATTTGAAGCAGCTTTTCTATCAAAAGAGCGTGTCCTTTGTGCTAATGAGAATGCAAGTGAGATGTGATGTATATTAAATAATCTAAAGCGAGAATCATACCACTAGATCAAATGCCCTTTTTATTTGGATTCACTGAAGTTACAAACTAATCATCTCTACGCAACAGTTTTAAATGATCCCATCTAATGAGATGACGAAAAGAAAAAGGATGATAATTAGAGATGAGTGTTCGATCAAGTCAGTATAACTCGAACTGAACTTAAAAAATTTTTAGGCGAGTTGAGTTGAGTTTTTCAGTTTTTGTTTAATTTTAATTGTAAATATTTCTAATATTATGATATTATTTGAATCTAATTTAAATGATTTTTTATAGCCATATAGAATACATATATATTTTTTAATTTTTTTATATTTGATATGTATATATCATACAAAAGTCGAAGGGCTCAAACTTGAAAAACAATCCATTAAATACTAAAAGTTTTGAATTATTCGAGTTGTATTTTATAACTCGATTGGAATTTGAAATTTTTTCGAATCGAGTTTATGAAATTACAACTCGAAGTCAATTCGAGTCAAATAAAAAAAATCGATTTTTTCTTAAATCGAGTTGAGTTTTACTCACTCCTATAAATAATTATTAAACTATGCTGAAATAATATGATCATTTAGATTTACAAAATAATCATTACATTTCTAATTTTAGAATAAAATAGACGCAACATTATTAGATGTCGTAAATAGTTGTCAAGAAGAATGATGTGATATATTAAATTAACGAATAATATCTTATTTGATCTTTTAATTATAAATATAATTTTATTTAAACTTTTTTAATATTTAATTCTAAAAATAAATAACTTTCATGAACTTAATTTTTAAAATTATAATTTTAAAAAGAATTGCACGTCATAAAATTCTTTTTCCTTGAACTTAATTTTATTACTTCATTTATTTTTCAAATGAATATTCTATAATAGAACATTCAAAAATTTTAAAAATAATTTAAAATAAAAATTGTAATTAAAATACGTATAATATAATTATCTCAAATTTTTATTTCCACATAAAATTGAAACATCAACAACATACAAGCCAACAAGGAATTAAGATTCAATTTTACAAACATTTTAAGGGGGACATAATAATAATAAAAATAAGTAAGTAAAAGCTTTGAAAATTAAATAAATACAACAATGGGACTCCTCACTTGGTGTTCACCGTCATCCCACACTAAAGACCCAGAAACCAACGATTCATCCATCGTCCCTTCAATTACAACCTCAAAAGACAGTTTTTGTCCCACGGATGTGAACGACAGAACATCAGGATTAACTCGGACTTTCAGTACCCCGGTCGGGAAATTCAGGTTCACCCTATACATCGCCAACGGAGACCCCATATTCGTGACGGTCCTTTTCAAGGAACGGCTAAAGGTTTTCGACGGCGAAATCGAAAGACCGAAGGAAGGGTAGTTTAGATCCGACACTGTTCCATTGGTGGATTCAAGACATGTTGTCGAGTTGTCCTTCGTTAGTAATCGTAAGAATCGAGTGGCGTATCCTTGCCGGCATAGGAATGTTATGTAATTGGATTCGTCGGCATCGTATAACAGACCCGGATCAGATGCTTTTAAAGGATTCAAATGGCCTGAACCGTATGCGAATTCAGCTTCTAAGTTGATGCCGGAGCTCATAGGGGAGGCTGCAAATAACATTGCGGTTGGTACAATTAGCTTCGTGACATATTGACGGTCCACATTAACATGTGTTTGGAAAATGAGTTACCTGTGGTCATAAGGGCAGATTGAATGGCAGCCGGAGACCATGTCGGATGGAACGATTTAACGTAGGCAGCCGCACCGGAAACATGAGGACAAGACATGGAAGTTCCCGAGATTATGTTGTATGTCCCGAATCTCTTGTCGCCTTCAATCGAAGAAACAGGAGAAAGTTCAGACCATGCTGCTAGAATGTAAACCCCAGGTGCAGATAAATCTGGCTGCAAGCAACAATTTAATTTAAAAATCATCAAATCATACACAAATTCATATAAAAATATTTTAAAAAATGAAAAGTCTAAACAACATCGAATCTACCTTGATGATGTCTGGTGTGATCGGATTCGGACCTCTCGACGAGAAAGAGACCACATAAGGAGCCAATGAATCATTATCCTCAGTACTCTTGAATATTGTTGCAGTCGGGGTACTATAATTTGTATAGGAAAGTGTTAGATGAGATTATGCAATTCGTATTATATTCGTATTGAATAATCGTACCGCGTTAGATTTATGTATTGATAAATCATGTTACCATCAACCAAATTAAAGCAAGAAGTAGGCAAAGGGAATGAGTTGGTAAAATCGGTCCGATCTTGGTCTCGAGTCACAGTCCCTGCAGCTCCGGCCAAAAAGGGTTCTCTCCCGGTGCCTATCCTGTCACAAAGAACAATTTTACCCTTCACCAGATCCCGGTCTAACGAACTTAAAGAGCAGAACCTGTAATTCAAGAATCAAGTCTATTATCCGATGCCATAGAATATGTTATTTCGATTTTTCGTATAACACACATTAGAAAAATCGATCGGAAAAAGTGATCGAGTTTCGACGTTACCGAGACGATCTACTCGTATATCCTGCAGTAGTGTTGGGTGCATCTCCACCGTAAATCATAGGGTACGTTTTATTCTTGAGATCAAATGTATTTATTGAAATTCCCTACACATAAGCCATATATAAGAATACATTCATATATACATACGTACCAATAATCATACTAGTGAAATTACCTCGTGAATTGTGTTATCGCCGAGCTGAACCTTGGTGGAAAACTTACGATCGATGGTGCTAGCGGCCACGGAAATCGACCACGGTGAGAAATTAGACACCGTCGAACGTCCCGGGCCGTCATTTCCAGCTGAACTTACGGTCAATATTCCTTTTTTCATGGCATGAAAGGCCGCAATCGAGATTGCGTCTTCGAAATAGTCGTTGATCGCTCCTCCTCCAATTGAAATCGATATAATGTCGACTCCATCGGAGATGGCATCGTCGAATGCTGCGAGAATGTCGGCATCATAACAACCGTCAACCCAACTGATTTTGTACACTGCAATACGTGCCGAAGGAACTCCTCCTCGAGCTGTACCCGAACCAAAGTCGTAGAGGCTTGCACCACTGACTAACCTCCCGGCCGCTGTCGATGCGGTAGGAGTCCCATGACCGTCAGAGTCTCTTGGAGATTTGAGGTCAGGTGGCAAAATTATTCCATCGCTGCGGTAATATTTTGCACCTATGATCTTACTGCATTTGAACATATGACGATATTATGGTTATATGTTAGCATAATCAAAATTTTATTAAAATGATTACTTTATTTTTTAAGTTTTTCAGAATATTTTAATTCTTAACATTCTAATTTTTAATGAAAATAGCCCATAATGAATTAAAAATTGTTAGTTGAATAACAATCAACGCAAATTACTAATATAACATTTTTATAAATATTAAATTATTGATAATGCAATATGTGGCACACCATCAAAGATGATGACATGACATGTATCATGTTAACCAAGGTGATGACGTGTCATATGACATACCAATAATTAAGCATATGTGAAAATGTTATATTAACAACATACGGTAACCATTAGTTAACTAACAGTTCTTATCTAACATGGGCCGTTTTAACAAAAAAAAGTATAACATTGATAGATGACGGATCTGAATCCAACCCGACATTATAACAACAAAATCTGACCTAAACCCGAGTTTTAAAGATTACTTGTTGCAAGTGAAATTGGTTGATAGATCAACTTGGCAACTGCCTTTCCATTTGGTAGGAGGTGGACCAATTCCTTTGTCATCAAAGCTTTGAGATTCAGGCCAAATTCCGGTGTCAAAAACTCCAATTATAACATTACTTTCCACGGCTGCTCTTTCAACTTGTTGAGGAAATGCCATGAAATCCCATGACTTTGTTGTGTGGAGTTTTCTCTTCCCGTTTGGAAACACATATATCACACCATCCATTCCTGAAAATGCCCATATAACTTATAAGATATTGTCCGGTAGGGGGTCGATTTTAGATTAGATCGATACAAAATTTTAAAAAATTCAATTGTTTGGCTCAAGCCATATTGAATTTGGATCAATTGGTCAAGTCAGGTTTAAAAAATTTGAGTTTTGGCCAATTTTAAATCGACGGTGTTTTATATTACTTATTCGGATCAATTTACGATTAAATCATTTTAGATTCGAATTAGTTAATTCGAATTCAAGTTGGAGTGATGGACTTACCGGCCATTTTTTGTGCTTCTTCCTCGTTTAGGTCTACCACGAACCCATTAAAACTCTTTCGGTAGCTACAAAGCACTGACTTCGACTCACTGCATTCATTCCATTTGCATAGCACTCACATAATCACAATACAAACCGGTCAATTGTTTTCATTAGTCCTTATACTATCTCTAAATTATATATTTTGTCTTTACATTATAGTTTGATCAATTTCAATCCCTGTACCTTTTGAATTGTAAGTACTAACAACAATCAAATTGAAAAACAATGACTAACTCTATAACTGTGCATAATATAAAGAGTAATATCATAACAATACAAGGACTGAAAATGACACACTTATAATATAAAAACCAAATTTATAACTTACACATAATACAGATACATCTGTTGATTTTATATATCTCATGCAAATAATGTCTGAATATGTAGTCAATACGAGTGTTTTGAAAACGAAATAACGTAGCTTTCGCACCTGCCGAAGGCATCTTGCAGCATGGTGGTATGAAGCAAAGACGTGGAAACACCATCGTCGATCCGGTCGCCCATATAAACAATATAGCTCTGAAAAATCACCAATTTTTTTTAAAAAAAATTGGAAGCTCTTCAGGAAAATAAGAAAATTAAAAGAAAAAAGGTCAGTGATTACCTTTCGATTGGCATTGGCATTGGCATTGGCAGCAAGCAAAGCTAAGAGAAAGAGATGAAGAAGATATTTTACTCGCTTCATTGCTACAATGGCCTCACACAAAAACAACTTTTTCAATGGCTGTATATGTGGGGAAATATGTTTGCCCAAGTCTTAGCCTTCGTCAATGCTAGAAAAATCATATTGGAACCTAATCGATCAAACTTTTGCCATCCTTAAAGATTTCGAGTTCGAGCACGATATTTATAAGGTTGTTTGAGCATTTTTGTCAAATGACTGGGAGTCTTTTGAACAAATATTATCTTATAATCATCCAAACTAATAAAAGAAATATTCTCTGTTTAATCCTAAAGTAAATCCTTTTATTTATAATTTTTTTCACATAAAATTTGTATTTCGTTTATCTTTCTTTCTTATTATTTTATGGACATATAAATATCTGTAACGAATTTTTAAGTAGGAGCAAGATAGAATTGTCCAAAATTTAATTCTAGATTCAATGTTAACTTTATGATATATATATATATATATATAAACTTATGAATTTATATTAGTGTAGAATTATAAATTTTAAAAGGTACGAAATTAGATTATTAATAAAAAATAAAAAAAAAACATATAAAGTATAAAATAATTTAAAATTTTCAAAGCTACAGTCACATTCCAATATTCCATATATTTGTATTAAATCATATTTTTTTTTTCATTTTAACCCTCGAATTCTTCACTAATTACACTCACATAAATAGGACATTATAAATTTAAGTGCAATTCACCCACAACTTTCTAGTATTCTTTTTTTAACAGTAATGGTACCAACAAGTATTGAAATAAGAATCCTGATTTAAATCTTAATGATGATATTATTGACAAAAATAATTATAAAAATTAAGGAAATAAATTTAAAAAAAATACTTTAAAGAAAAGACCAATAAATTGGTAGTATTGTTAAACGAACATTTCTAGAGATATAATTTTTGTGGATATGAATATATTCAATCCAACAACCTTTTTGTAAAGGTACCAAACGTGGAATAAATCAGCTTTGCTTGATTTTTCCATTTTATCAATTAATTGCGGTACCAATTGGCGTTACTGCATGGACCTACACTTTTTCATCAACAAATTGCGGTACCAATCGCTAAATATTGACCTTACACTTTTGATATAATAGATTTAGTTTTCGATTTTTATATATACCTTTTGTCAAAAATATTATAATTCAAATTTTGTTTTGTTTTGATTCGAAAAATTAGTAATTAGTAATTATTTTTTTATATTTTATCATCTTAAATATTAAATTTTATTTTTTTTATTCGTGATTTTTAAAAATAATTCTTACATAAACTTTGTGCACTTGTTTTTTTTTTCTTTCATCGGTAATAATATCAATTTGATTTTGATTCTAAAACATTTAACATTTATATATTATTAGGTCAATTCATTTTTAATATTTTTGAATGATAATAGAAATTTCAATTGTTAAAATATAATCAATAATCATAATCTAATTGAATCTAAATCAGAATAAACCCTAAATAACGTGAACAGTTCGTTGATGGAAATAAAAAGATTTTATCGGTCTAAGCGGTTTATCTCTTTTGATTTGAATAGAGAGCTATCATTCATATTAGTGTGTTGTGGAAGATTAGTCATAAAGAAAAGGATGTATAGGAAGATGGAGAGGAATTGTAATGGGTGTCAGCTGTCTCTCTGACCGTCTAGATGAATATTTATAATGGTCTTTAGTATGTAGGTTAGTCGAGGGATTAGCATGTTTATTCGTAGATCAACATATTTAGGAAATTTATTAATCGAACCCAAAGTTTTATTCTAGTAGATAACGTAGACATGTTTATGTGTTGACCGATTCAAAAGCTTCTATCCGAAGGAAATGGACTCCGTGTGGACTCTGATAGTCTGAGTTTCTGGTGGTAAAACAAATCTTAAACCAAAAAATTAAGGTATATTTATTATCATAACGAATGAAATTGAAATTCACGTTTCGGATAAGTTCACAATGACAATAATGTCAATAATTGACCATTCAAGTTGATACTGAAACAAATGCAATTATTGAACTCCTCACTTGATGTTCACCGTCATCATCCCACACTAAAGAACCAGACACCATAGATTCATCCATTCTTCCTTCAATTATTACCGCAAAAGACAGCTTTTCTCCGACGGATGTGAAAGACAGAACATTAGGGTTAACTCGGATTTTCAACGTACCGGCCGGAAAACTCACGTTTGCTCTATAAACCGCCGTCGGAGATCCCACATTGGTAACACTTCTATTGAAAACGTGTCTGACAGTTGTTGAAGAAGAAGTGAAAACGGAGAACGAAGGGTAGTTTAGATCTGGAACTGTTCCGTTCGTTGCTTCAGGACATGATGCGTTGTCTCCGGTAACTTGTTTAAGAAACCGAGTTCCGTATCCTTGTCGGCATAAGAAATTTATGTAATCGAGTTCGTCCGAATCGTAGACTAAGCCTGGATTTATAGCTTAGAGTGGGTTTATATGGCCTGACCCATATGCAAACTCAGCATCCGAGTTAATGCTTGAACTCAATGGGGAGGCTGCAATGCAAATTTCCAATGAGATTTGTAGTTTTAGGAAATAAAATACATCCAAGATAATTCATTTTTGTGTTTGTAATTTCTAAATATTATTATAACGGGTAAAATGCATAAATGGTCCCCAACTATAGCTTGTTGTTTTATTAAGTCTCCCAACTATTCATATGTTACAAAATGGTCACCCAACTATTCATATGTTATAAATTTGTTCCTTTTCATTAAAAATTTGATGGTCGATAATGACCCTAATTAACGCGAATTAAAAGTTCAGAGACCAAAATGCAAGTGTCTTAAAGTTCAGAAACCATTTTTGTAATTTACCATATATATATCAAAGAAATGGTAATACTCATATAAAGAACTTTTCAAATGTCAAATCTAATATTTGCATAATATGTCATTAGTGTTTAACCTATCACGAAATTATAAAAAATCAACGGTGTCGTTCTTAATATATTTAAGGATGGAAAGTGATATTTTCCATTAATTATTATGTATGTTTGCAATACGAAATTATTTAGAATGATTAAAAATTCAGTTACGTGCCAATTCAAATAAGAATAACATTGACATCTTAACTCAAACTAGGGGTCAAATGGTGCTGGGAGACACAGTCTTTGCAAGCTTTATCCAAATCACTGTCATTAGTCTTTATTCGGTGTATGTTATGGATTTAGTCTCTATGTTTTAATTTGGTCGATTTTAATATTTATACGCTTTGAATTTTATTCTTTTATTTCTAACCCGGAATTGTAACAGGAATAATATGATTGAATTATAAGTATTAAAAATGATTATATTAGAGAATAAGAGCTAAATTTACAACTTACACATAATATAAGGACTAATAATAGAATTTAATTTGTCTATATTTAGCGGCTACTATATTCACCGGGATCAAAAATTTAAAGTTTAGAAAGTACATAAACTAAACATGATTAACTAAAGTACAAATAATGAATTCACAACTTTATGCATAAATAAGGGACTAGCCACAGAGTTTAGCATTTAAATACATGTAACATTTGTATTAGCGGTAAATATGTGATGTAAAAATGGTAAAATTACGCTAAGTCCCCCAAAAATTAATAATTCAATTTTAACACCCTCCAAATACAATTTCTGTCTGCACCCTTAACTCCTAGTGAAGGTCCGGTATATGTGCCTTGCCATTCGTTTATTTTTTCTGTTTTTTTCTTCTTCTCTTTTTTGTTATGGAAAATGAAAATTTTCACACAGCAATCACCAAAATCCTGGAATTCCACTAATCACATTTTTCCGATAATCAAATATTAATCAATCTCTTTATGGTTAATCTCTCTTCTCCCTTCACACTTCATCTTATGAATTTTTATTTATAATTTCTTACAAGATTTCGGATTATTATCGCATTTAGAATTACTCGATAATGTTTGTCCATTTTCTTTCATTTAGCAGGTTTGAGATTCGATAAAGGAAAAATAAATGGCACATAGAGTGAATCATGAATACGATTATTTATTCAAGATTGTACTGATCGGAGATTCGGGTGTCGGAAAATCCAACATCCTTTCGAGATTTACGAGAAATGAGTTTTGCTTGGATTCCAAGTCTACTATCGGTGTTGAATTTGCAACAAGAACTCTTCAGGTTTGGTTTTGTACACAACCATAAATGCATCAATGACCGCCTTTTATATCCGAGTTGTTCCTCGCCTTATTTGTTCAGGTAGAAGGAAAGACGGTAAAAGCGCAGATATGGGACACGGCCGGTCAGGAACGATATCGAGCAATCACGAGTGCTTACTATAGGGGCGCGGTCGGGGCACTTCTCGTTTACGACATAACCAAAAGGCAAACCTTCGACAACACTCCGCAATGGCTCAAAGAACTGCGAGACCATGCCGGTTCAAACATCGTCGTAATCATGATGGCCGGCAACAAATCAGATCTCAATCATCTCCGAGCGGTGTCGAAGGAAGACGCTGAGAGCTTTGCCGACAAAGAAGGTCTGTCGTTCCTAGAGACATCGGCACTCGACGCTTCCAATATCGAGAAGGCATTTCAAAAGATGTTGATGGATATTTATCAAATACTGAGCAGAAGAGCTCTGGCAGGGCAAGAAGCTTCAGCTACGAGCCTTCCTCGAGGAACTGACATTGATGTCTCTAAGAAGAACAAAAATGGAAATAAAATCGCTTGTTGTTCTTCATAGAGCGAAGCGATCATTTTAGGTTCATATATGAAAATATTTTGATTGTTTTTGCATAATCATCAATATCTGATTCATCGATCAATCAATTTGTGAATCAGATATTATAGAGACCTATGATCGAGACATTCTCTAAACCCTCTACTTCATTTGCTTTGAGTTAAAAGTAATGAACATTTGTTAATTTGTCTATCCAAATGAATTGCAATGTTTTGTAGGATTTGTCTCAACATGTTTCAAAAACAATCATTCCTTCGCTCATCAAAGTTATGCCGATTTCGGAATTCACAAACGGAAGTGTTTACCAGCAACCCTCGAAAAACCAACTGCTAGGAAGCCATTAGCAGGCAGTCGAGGACCGTCGAGAAGTTGCCTCACTCGGTAGAGACAATGAATCAATGCTGTCTCTGTTACATAAACGACGTAGGAAGAACAGCGAGAGCCTAGGGAGAGATTCGGTTTCATTTCTTGATTAATCTCAAGACATCGCCGACGAGATGCAAGGAACCGGTGACAAGGACCTAATCAATCAGAAAAAGGGAATTAGAAACCCCAAGAGAAACACAAATGAAGTGAGAGTCATAAGCTTTAAAGAAAAAGTTGCAACCGAACCACTATACTTCGTCGATAAGACCCGATAAAATGAGTGTAAATGGAGTATGACTATATGAAAAAACTTTTAAAACATTTATACTCGTCGAACACACGTCGATATCTACCCCAAGTCCAACATTCATCGATGAGGTACTGTTAGATTAAAAAAACCTAATGTTTTGGAGGAGCAAGAGTCCTCAATGGCTTGATTCATGCATAGCTCTTTGTGTTCTAAACACCTACGAGGTTTTATGAGCTAAGCTTTCGACAACTAAAAAAAGTTCAAATCCGTAAAGTACTCTAAAGTAACATAGCCATGAACTCGATCTGAAGTACTCCAACCTTGTTATGTACAAAAGGCAGGCAAATATTGGCAACGGCGAGCATATAATGTCAAGCATTACCTGAAATTGGACAAATCTATCCTTCTGGGCGGTATCCCTGAGCCACTTTATAGCGGATGGTAGAGAAAAGACCAAACTGTTTCTACAACAACCGACGCTCATTCCCGTATCGTCTTTCACTTCTTCGCAAACTTGATCCGTGTTACTGGCCTCCCCTCCTAGTACATGAAGGAAACAATCATCATAATCAAACTGAACATTAGATATAAAATACAAGGAAGGAAGAAAGCTTTTTACAACGAAAGGATTGCAGTTAGTTTAAAATTACGAATTCAACAGAATTCAGAAACTATGAAATTCGAAAAACAAGAAGAATGTGATGCCATGTATTAGACCGATACCTTTATCACTCTGCATAAGGTTTTCCCACACTCTCTGAAGACCAAATTGCCATGACAAATCAACTTGAGGATCAACCGTAGGTAATGTATGGGATACAACCTTGTTGTACACTGAAATGTTCGGCACGAAGAGAGCCGTATTGAAACGGACACCTGAAATAACGATTAACAGATTGTAAGATACATAAGACATAAATTTCTTTGTCCAGGAAAGCTTCCATGGGATTAAAGCAGTTAAACATAATCATTTCCCTTAAATACCGGTTTTTCATGAACTTTGAATGCATCTGTGATGCTTTCCATCAAAAGGATATAAAATTCTATCCAAGAAAACACATCTAAACAGGCCTCTAACTCAAGCAATTACCATGGTTAGCACATGTCTTCATCAAGCGTGGCAGAAGTAACTGTGGATCTCGCACCGACATACAATTGAACAGCAGAATCTGCAAATAATTCTCAAAAACTTTAGTCCACCATCAGCAAGATGCAGCCCAAATCTAGTTTATACAATTTACAGCTTGAAGTTCCGAAATTCATGATAAAACCAAGCACCAAAAATTATATATTAGATGTACATGCATTTATATTAGAAAAATGTGAGTTTTATAAACTCAATCGTAGAACTTCTGAGTTCTAAAGCTTTCTGAAAACCCGATAACCTCCTACGTTAGGAATTATCCTTAATAATATTAACTCGTAAGCAAAATACAAGCCAGCACCATACTGAGATAGAAATGCTTAAATATTGTATAGAACGAGATCTAATATATAAGTTATGAGAATATCATCAACACCGACTATGACAGCAAAGTACTCTATTTTAAATATAAGTTTTAAAAACTATGGAAATTATTGTGGTACAAAGCAGGTTGCTCGACCTGTATAGTATCCTTAGATCTTCCGTATGCCTGCAGCTGTGCCTCAGAATTCAGGTTTGATTGGTGATTGTCATCCTTAGTGCAAAGAGAAAACCACCTCGCACAAACTTCCATACTTTCAGGACTGTGAGCTCCATCCAAATAAAAAACTAGATCCCCGACGCTTCCAATGTCAGTAAATTGATCACGGACAATCTGAGCCCGCCCTTGCAAACTTGCTGTCGTTAGGCCCTTAATAAACGGTTCAGGTAATGGACCCTATTACAAGGAAATAAAAAACGTTTAAGTAAACAGTAGTTGGAATGCAGAGAAAGTCTCTAATAAATAGAACCCACTGTTTGATCGAAATTGTTGATAGGATGACCAGTCCTCTGAAGCCAAGCAGTACACAGTGCGACGGCAAGACCGCCATTTAAATATTGATGTTCGCCTTCAAGTGCAAGCTTCAGACCATTCAGCGAACTTGCATCTATTGGATGCACCACTTGAAGGTTTACCTGTGAAGAACATAATCATCTTCAGACTAGCATAGCTTATGTCCTCTAGAACAAGGCAAAATCCAGAATTTCAATATAAGTTGAGTCGTGTATTTAAAATCTTTGTAAGGGAACTCAGAAATGAAAGAGTTATGAAACTTGCATTCAATTTTGAAGCTTTCTCTTCAAGCACCTGCATTGCCTCATCCGGTTGAGGTACGGTAAAGGCCGGTATCTCATGCTGCATTTGAAAAGGTACAAACAAAAATAGGAGATAGATTTAAATTATGTTACGACATAGAGACAGACTCGTATCATATGCTTTAAATCAATATAGTTCTAAAAGTAAAAACACCTTAAATATACCAGCCTTCGCCCCAGCAATTTCTCCCAGAGTATTTCCTGTTTATGGCCATCCAGAAAAGAAAAAGAAAGCAAAATCTTTACCATTAACTTGAATTATTCTGAAAGCAGTAGCCGACATACATGGATACATCAAATGACGAAATTCACAACTACTTCTCGTAGCTCAGAAAGTTGGTATAGGGACGCTAAGCAGATTTCATGGTCTAAATCGAGGAAGCAGATAGACAACCAAAAATTTGACCGGATGAAACTTAAACTACCTGGTACCGGTTTAAGACTGGTACAGTTAATACCGATACGCTATTTTGACTACCATGTAGACAACATTAAAAAAAGTCATAACTCTAGTTTCACTTAATTCTGCATAATTTAGATTTTCTCTATTTTAAGATTAAAACTTCGAGTGCTCCGGATAATGAAACCTCACAGATGTAATGAAAATATAGTGTCCAACATGAGGTTCAAGAAAATCATTGATGTCATGAATTTACTGCATGATTTTAAAAATAATGCAATACAGATTAAAATACTTCTTTGTCTCTCGAAGATCTTTTTCAGCAATTTCAAAAGGCTATCTGTAATTTATATTAACTACGATACATTTATGAGCAATATTTTATAGGTCATTATTTAATAGCAATTAACTGATGTAATATATATATAACACTAACCAAGAATCTCCGTATGATCATACCCAAGGGAAGATACACCACACACAATAGGTGCTTGAACCTGAAAAATACAATACATGTTAACAAAAATTAGAACAAGATAAGCACTAGCATTATATTTCAGCACCACGGTGGCCACAAATGATACGCTTTGCTTGGCAGACATGTAGCGTATTTGTGAACTAAATTAGGAAACATACCACATTAGTTGCATCAGCCCTTCCACCCAAACCAACCTCCAGAATAGCAACATCAACCTGCATGGACAATTTAAAGGCAATATTTATTTTTGCTTCACTAGCAGAGGATGCTCGTGAAATGGAAGAAGCGACACAGGAAAACAGCTTCATACAGAAGGATTGTAACACACATCAAACCTTCTCTGCTGCAAATATCTTAAAGGCGAGCAAGGTCAGGAACCGAAAGTATGTAGGCATTGGTACATCCTCACTGGTTTTTTCCTGCAAATCAATGAAGAGAAGGTCAACAGGATTAAACACATTGTTCAAGGGAAAAGCCAAAATGAAAGGCAACACTTTTTGTTCGATGATAAATATGTAACTGGTTAAAGAGAAAAAGATATTGCAGATGATGCCATTCCAAGTTGTCAAAGACAGATAGTCTAGGTAAGTCCATGTGTACTATTCGGGTTTGTTTGAAATGCTACACAGCTCAATTCTTAGTCCTGCTACTAGGTTGGTTGGCTACAGAAGCCCCAACTTCATGTTGCCATGCTGAATTCTCAAAAAGTATTCCCTCAAAATAAATCATATCCACAATGCGGGATCATCGCTTTGATGATACTTTGTTGGTGCCATAGCAAGTATAATGCTAGTTGGTTCCAAAGAAAGTATTTATTGTATAGCCTAACACTTACTACTTAGAACAAAAAATAATCCACAATAAAAAAATAATACTAGTCAACAAAACCCAATAAATAACGTAAAAGAAGGCCGTGCATAATTGCAGAAGACCTGAGCCGAAGTTCGTAGCAAAATCAGTGTGAAACACTACCACATACATACCTTCAGCTTATCATAGCACCACCAGAAATATTGCAAAAATTTCTCCTCACATATTTCCACACTGAATCAGCCAGGAAAGACAAGAAAGTTACAAAACTATTTATACCTAAAATTATAAATACTCGAAGATCGCAGAGGTTCGCCAGATTCTAGAAAATGCCAAGCTAAAAAAACATCAACATACGATGAATCAAATAGACATACTTACCCATCCAATCGAAACCTTTCACGAACATCAATCAGGTGTGGAGACGTGAAAAGTCCGGTTCGAAACCCACAATTACGTAATATTGATTCTGCAAACGTGCATGTTGATCCCTTTTCAATTTAGCAAATGAAGAAAGAATCAGTACAACAACTCACATGCAGTATACAAACAAGATAGAAGAATTATGTTTCACTGAAGCCAGCTAGACAAAAACAGCACTAATGCCTAGGCCAAGCAGTAAGGAGCTCAATACTCTTTGTGCAAGTCTCGGTTTTGAGTTTAATCGAGAAAATAGGTGTTGGGAGCAGGGATTTAAATAGCAGTCCGTTATCAGAATAGTGGCCGTTGCGGTAAACGTGCCGTCCAAAACCGTTAGTGCACAGCCATAATACTCTAAATGACCGCAATAGCACACGCTATTGCTGCAATCATGATAAACACAACAAAACTGAAAATGTGACCACAACCGCAATTTAAATCCCTGGTGGAGCATTTTCGCAATTCAGAGGGTCAACCTACCTCGACTCCAAGATAGTTGGATCCCAATGTGACCAAAAAGAATGTAAGCTACTCGAAAAATAAGCCAAATTATAGACAAATGCAGCATACAAAGAAAAGCTACGGGAAAAGATTCATAAAAAAAGTGAGATTCAGGGAAAGAAAATTTCCAATACCTTTCCCTTGGTGCCAGCAACATGGATGATTTTCAACTCTGAAATCGCGTCTTCCAATTCCAAAATCTAAAACCCATTAAACAAAAACAGCTTAATTCAAAGCTCAGAAAAACAACTCAATCAAAAACAGAACCAAAAAAAAATACTTTCAAGTACTGAAAAAGCAAGTAGAAGCTATCCCCTTTATTGTTCTTATCGGCACGACTCCGTTTCGTTATCAACGACGACAACGCATCCAACGTTGACTCATATCGATCCGCCAAAGACTTCATCGATCCTCCTGCAACAAAACAAAACTAAAAATCATAAAATAAATATATATTGGATTTTTATGCAAAAAAAAACATTTTTTTACCTTTGGCGGAGTGATGAGGGGTTGAGAAGTGAAGACGGAGTGATGAGATTGAGATTGGAGAGCTGAGAAATTATACAGCGAGCAATTCATACACTCAACTGACATTTTTCTTGGTTGTTTGTGGCTTGGTCGCAGACGGAGAGTGACCACTGTCTTTTATTTTATTATTTTATTGTGCTATATATTTTAAAACCTTTGAGTAAATTATTTAAAAGGCCCCTAACCTTTACTATGTTTTCTTTACTTTCAAATGAGTACTTAAATTTTCTCTCAATATTTTTGTACAACCTTTCGCTTTTCTTTTGATTTTTGTTTAGCCAATGACGACATTAATTTTAATATTGATTGTTAAATTCGGTGTTTATTATTTTCTTTTTTTATACTATGTCTTTTGTTTTTCTTTATATTCTTGAGTTTTTTCAATTTTAAATAAGAATTTTGTTGAATTATGTTTCGATATAACAAATTTAAGGCAAAATGTTTTTGGACTTTAATTGAATTTATTCAAAGTTTTAAAAAGGTTTCAAAAATAATTCAAATTCAATTAAAATTCATATTTGAGCAAAAATGCTAAAGGGTGTCAAAGTGCATCCATGCACCCCTGCAGTGCATCCATGCACCCCGGCAGTGCATCCATGCACTCAAACACCGGTGCATCGATGCACCCTATTGTGCATCCATGCACGATGGCTGCAACGGCTAGTAACGACTAGTTTATTTGAATTTAATGAAGGGGTATCGATGCACCATGTTATGGGCAACCTTTTTTAGTAGAAAAATCATCCCCAAACGGCTCCAAAACATCCCCAAACGGCTCCAAAACATCCCCAACGGCTATATACAACATCAAACACATTCCAAGCATAAATACAAGCTAAGGACACTTGAAGAAGCATGAGAACAACTATCCAAGCAATCAAACACAAGAGAAGAGTTTTTCATTCTTATTTCATCTTTCTCTTGTAAATATTTTGTTCTTGTGAGCTCAATCTTGTAAACACCTACCTTAGAGAGGTTTTCTTGTTTACTTATTTTATCCTTTTGTAAAGGGGAAAGGTTCTAGCTTATCCCGTGTAAAAGCTAGGAAAAGGTTATAGTTTATCCCAGAAAAACTAGGGAGTTGTAAGGTTATCTCTTTGTCCTCAAAAGAAAGAACAAATTTGTGAATTTGTTGGAAAATCCTTGGTGAGGAGTTAAGGTAGTGGACGTAGACTTTGGTTTAGAAATTCGAACCACTCTAAATCGCTGTGCAATTTTCTATCTTTCAATCTCCTTACTCCCTAAACTCAAAAACCGTTCCGACCCCTCTTTGCAAACCGTTCCGGTTGTCGAATCGAGCTTCCGAAAATCCCAACAAATTTATATCATTGTGACAATGTTTTTCTCTACTCTTGTGACACGTTTTTTCTCTACTCTTGTGACACGTTCTTTATGATTTTTGGTATGTTTTTCGCATACGGTTGTGTTGGTGTTTGCACAAAGTCATTAACGATATTTTTTTATTGGTTTGTCGGATGTCACTTATTGTCATATCTCCACTTTGGTAAAAGGATTTTTACGATGTAATCATAATTGTGTAGCAAAGTAACCTGCCAAATTTTTTGACTCGCTCACCACTTCTTTATCACTTTGTAAAGAGTCTCATTCGACATAGACAATAAATTTTATGAAGGTTACTAAGTTCTTTTAATGTTGGACGTCATTCTCAATGAAAGATTTCATTTTTTCGTATTTTTGAGTTTAATATTTTTGTTTTATATATGAGTTTTTTTGTGACTATTACCAGTTTTTTCTCTTTATGTTTGGGTGTATTGTAATATTGATTTCTTTCATTTTTTTTAGGGTAAAGTATATAAATAGTCCCCAAACTTTTAGAGCGCTTGCATTTTGGTCACCCAACTTTTGAAACTTGCAATACAATTATCAAATTTTTAATCGTTTTCAGTAAGTTTCCTGTCGTACTCTCCCGTTAGGTTTTGCTGATGTGGCACTTAATTGTCGTTAACCCCCTTCTCCTTCTCCTTCTCCTTCTCCTTCTCCTTCTTCTCCTTCTCATTCTCCACCTTCTTCTCTTCCTTCTTCTCCTCCTCTTCATCCGCCTTCTTCTTTTTATAAATAAGGGACACGAATATGAGCCATGACCGACTGGGTTTTGTTCAGAACGGTGTGAGGACTTCAACGGTGGTGGCGGTGTGGCGAACAAACAACCCTATCGATCGAAAATCGATCAAAATAAAAAAAGGGGATTTAGGGTTTTCCAACGAGATTCGAGACCCTCTCCACGACGAATGGATGTGAGTCTCGACGAGTGGCTAGTGAGGTTTTGGTCAGAATAGGGCAGCGCTCTTACTGGTACTAGTGGTAATGATCACTGGTGATTGACGAAAGAGATCGGGGATGGGTGTTTGAATGATTTTCTCATATTTGGGACAAACAGTGAACAGTGAGTGTTAATCGAGGGTCGGGGTACAGTCGGGAAGCGACGTCGGTGATGATGGTGATGGCGGTGTGACCCACCGCTGATCGGAGGTAGAGTGAACGGGAGAAGAAGTTGAAGAAGAAAACGAAGAAGAAGAAGAAGAAGAAGGGGGAGGGGGTTAACTGCAGTTAAGTGCCATTACGACAGGGACCTTACTACAATTGATTAAAAGTTGGGTGACAAAAATGCAAGCGCCCATAAAAATTAGATGATTGCACTGCAAGTTACAAAAGTTGGGTGATCAAAATACAAGCGCCCTAAAAGTTTGAGGACTATTTGTATACTTTACCCTTATTTTTATTAAGGAAATCATTTTGTCATTGTAAAAAAAATAAAGAATATCTAATTGATATCATACTAATATTTTAAAGTGATTAAAATACATTGACATTTAGAGTTTAATTTAAAATCTGAACAACAATATAGGGATATTAACTCAATTATTCCTAAGAAGACTTATCATTTGATTCAAGTCAAAGACGGATTAATCATGTTAAGAATTTATTACATATTGTAATTTAATAATTTTAAGATATATTTTTGTTCTAAATCTTATTTTTATGGTTACGTTCGAATCAAAATATTTATATTAAGATTCTAATATTTATATTAATTGATGTTATAGTTAAATTTTATTTTTTTTATATCTACATTTTTAAAATTTGAACTTTTAAATAAAATTTATTTTAAATGAATTCGATTTGAATAATAATAATATATTACGATAAAAAGACACATAGCTAGTACTACAAATTAATTATTTTTCATATTGTGTTACTGAAACGGCACCGTTGTACTCGAACATTGAACGGCAAGACTATAAATAACCAAGCCTTTTCCTTCTACACTTCTCTACTTTGGTCTCCTTGAAACATCCAGCTCTCAAAAATGGCGTTCGACAAATCCGACCCGAATCAATCTAAACTGAGCAAGCTCCGATGGGGAGAGCTAGAGGAAGACGACGATCTGGATTTTTTATTACCATGAAGTGTGTTCTTGAGCTGACGACATAAGCTTTCGAGCTTGTTGCCATCCAAACATTTTGTGAAAAAGTCTGTCATTTGGTTTTCTGTCTTCGTCTTCTTGCAAAGCTTTTTCTCTAACAAAATGGTAATGCACTCCCATGTGCTTACTTCTCTCATGAAAAAACGAATTATCGGCTGATCATGTGACTGATAAGTTGTCACAATATTAGTGGTAAGCATATATATGGTTGTTTCGTGTGGACTGGTAATGAGGCCACCAATAGCATTGTGTTTTGCTGGAATACAATTGTTGGATCACGAAACCGAGAAATCAGTTTCGTTTCGAGGCATAAGAAACATTCAGGGACTTGGATATGATTGCAGGCCATATACTGATGTAATGAATCTTTAGTAAATGAAAACCGAGTTCGAATGGCTGGAAGATGTTTGTGGTTGAAATAGTTAAAAATTAGGATGTTGTTTATACAGGTTCCAAACCAGAAGAAATGAAGGCAGCTGGGTACAGTTTGGCTCAGCTCAGCAAAGGAGGAGCCGTTCTCATGGTGTGCCGGACATGTGGTAAGAAAGGTGATCACTGGACTTCCAAATGTCCATACAAGGATCTTGCCGCTCCGGTTGAAACCTTTGTCGATAAACCCGAAGCATCAGAGGCCCCTGTGGCTGCTTCTGGATCCGGTAAGGGAGCTTATGTCCCACCAAGCATGAGAGCAGGTGCTGAGAGAACTGCCCTATCAGATATGAGACGTAGGAACGATGAAAACTCAGTCAGGGTAACGAACTTATCGGAGGATACCCGGGAGCCTGACTTGCTTGAGTTATTCCGTCCATTCGGTGCCGTAACTCATGTTTATGTTGCTATGGATCAGAAGACAGGAGCAAGTCGAGGCTTTGGTTTTGTCAACTTTGTAAACAGAGAGGATGCTCAAATAGCCATAAACAAGCTCAATGGTTACGGTTACGACAATCTCTCATCCTGCGAGTTGAATGGGCCACGCCTAGATCGAACTAGAATTCATGGCATTAGCTCCTTTTTTTTAACATTATTAATTTATTTTCCCACTTGATTATTTATTCTGGAACTCTATTTTGAGAATTATATGTTTAAACCTAAATTTTAATAAACGTCGATACGAGTTTGTATGAGCACGAATAAAGAAATGGAGAAAAAGGCAAAAATGTTACGAATTTCGTTTAAGAAGAAATCTGTGCGACACGTGTTTGTACGAAAATGAGTTGGACACAGCGGTACGTATGTATGATTTTTTTTTTTCAATTCCTCGATGAGTTTGAAAATTTTAATACCTAAATAACATGAGACTCAAGAAATTTCATAATTAAAGTTGTTTGATTTAAAATTATGAAAGCCATGTCATGAACTTTAATCACACCACTATTAGTGCTATATTTAAATAAAGTTTTGAAGTTCAAACTTTAAACTGTCTTTTTTATTCTTTATGGTAAATTGTATGTCCAGCTCAATTGGTAGAGTATAAGGATATTAATCTTGGGGTCGTGGATCAAGTCTTACGGTGGGCAATTCATAATTCGAAGGTCTCCACGGAAGCTGCTCTCAACCTGGTGTTGGGAGCAACCTACTATACTACCTCCCCTTATCCCATTACATATGAGAATAAGGGTTAGCAATTTTTTTTATTCTTTATGGTATTGGATT